AAACACAGCCCTCAAACTTACTTAGTCATTCTTTAGTCTTTGTATTCCTCATAGAATTAAGAATCCTAAAGTAGCTAATTTTAGATTCCCTCTTCTAAACATTTCTATGTTATTGCCTTGTAGATCAATTCCCTTAATCCCCTCCCCCTTTTCTATTCTGCCTCACTCTTAGAGAGAAAGAGTTCCTTCAAATGATAGAGAGGATATTGTCCCATGGTAGGAATAGCTGTTATGTCCCTGGTTGTGCAATGCATTATTATTCTGCCCTCCCATAGTCATTTTTCCCCTTTGCTTTTAAATTTGCTCCCTAGATCTATGCCTTTGTGTGTATGTCATTTGCTTCCAGAAGCTGTGATTTTCCTTCTGAGGTAGGATGAGTGGTCTCTAAGCACCAAATCTCTGTAGATTAAATCATGGGAAGGTCCCCATGTCCCTTTACAGACTATCTCTCTTCTCGCCAGCAGCATCCATTACTCATACCCCCTCTTCCACCACAGAAATAAGATTACCCCCATTTTTCTCCATGTTTCAGTCCTTCCCTTGTCTCTCTGTATATTCTTCATTAAGTCCTTTTCATCTTGAAGGATTACAAGAGTTATTTTCTCTTAATTTTTAACCTTTGGCTTAGTAAGGGTGCATTGCATATTCTCCTCTATCTTTTTCCTCCCTTCCTCCTTTTTAAGCAGCCCCCCACTATGTAAATTGGTCTGCTTACAGGCAGCTTTTCTGAGGTTAGGTCTGGGATATCACAGGTCTGCTTCTCTTCTATCAATTCTATTTGACTTCTGCATTCACCTTTGTGTACAGCCTTTCCTTGTGTACTTTTAAAATGAAAAATTTTAATAATCTCTGCTTTTATTTTGTTTTTATTACTGTCCTTGCTAGCTGTGTCTCTCTCCCCACCCCAACTCTACCCCATGCCAGGTGCATCTGCAAAGCAAGTAAACTGCTCAGGTCTGGTTTTCTTTGTGGGACTACTTCAAATGCATCTTGGTTTCTGAATATTCATCTTTTTACATTAATAGGCTCAGGTTTGCAGGATATGTCACCTTGGGATACATGTTGAGCTCCTATACTCTTTTGCAGGCTTAGAATACATTATTCCATTCCCCCCAACAGTCTTGTGTTATTTAAATTTTCTTTCCTTTATATTTGAAGACTGTGTGTGTGTGTGTGTGTGCGCGCGCGCGCACACACACACACACCATCAGTAAGAATTTGTAGTCATTGGAATTGTTAAACTTAAACACTATGTATCTTGGTATTTGCAGCATCCATCCCCTCCCAACCCCCAGGGGCAATCTGTGGAGTGTTTAGATTGGTATTCTGCTTTCTGTGTCCAGGAATTCTGAGTAATTTTCTTGTATGATTCTTGCATTATTTTGTTCAGGCTTCTTGACTTGCCATGCTCTTCTGGGATACCTATGATCCTTAAATTGCCTCTAAAGAATCTATCTTTGAAGTTAATAGGTTTCACTGGTATGGAGATCAGGTTTTCTTTTAATACTATTGCCTTTTGCTTCTCTTCTTCTAGATTGTCCTTCACTTCTGTGTACTGGCAATCCTATTCAATTATTCTTTCTTTTGTTTCTTTGGTGAGACTTGTAGCTGTGTATTCAAGTTTCTCTATTCTGCTAATTATTTCTGTTGTGCTGATCATAAATTCTACTCTCATAATTTTCTTTTAAACCTTCAGGAACATCCTGCTGTAATCCATCCTGTCTTGGGCCTCATCAAGTAATGATTTATTTCCCTTTATCTTGAAGTATTTATTGATAAATGTGTGGACTTGTTTAGCTGATCTGGAGGCCATCATCCTTTCTGTTATTAATATCTTCTCTTGTTAGTTTATCTCCTTTTGTTCAAGGTCTTCAATTAAATTTTAATACTCTTGAGATGCTTGCTAATTTCAGTCTTTTTTTCTCATATTCCCCTATCACTCACTTTTGACTCCTTCCTCTTTGATGGTAGTTTCAGTTTAGGATGGACTTCAAAGCTTTCTTAGTCTCTTCCCATGCTGGGCAATTCACATTTCACAGGCTTCAGTCTCTGCCTCAAGTGTTTCTGGTTTTTTTTTTTGGGGGGGAGGGTTTTGGGGAGGTGGAAATGGGGGAGGGTGGAGGGGAAGAACTGGCCCTAACTAGATTATATGCTTTTTACTTCAATTTAGTGGAGTATCACTGAGCCACACATGCATCCCACCTGAGTTCTCTGGCTAACCATTGTTGCTTAGGTGTCACTGCACCATTATCTCGACCCAAGCATGCTTTTGTCTTTTGATTTGGCATTGGGAAGAGAATAGAGGGAGGATAGAGATAATCAGCAGATGATGAGGCTCTAAGTGAATACATCAGCATTTAAGGATTTGCTTTCTCTGCTGTTAGTTCACTGAATTATACCTCATTAGGATTTGTAGTAACTTAAACAATGTTGCAGGATAAAATTCCTTTATATCTTGTGCATAATTCCTATCTTGGAAAGGTTGGCAAGTTTTGAAAGGTCTTGAACACTGGAGAAAATGTCTAGTCCTCCATCTTGTTGGTCTTCTGACCCTCAATTATCTCTTCAACACCAAATGTCCTGATGATACTCAAGACTTTCTCCAGTTCCTCAGTTTCTTTTCTGCTCTGATTGAAGGATGACTAGTAGAGCAATAGGGTCCTCCCAATGCCTTATAGAAGGTTCAGAACTTAGCAAGTGACTCTCCATTTTCCATCAGATTTAGTTTCCACTCCACACAACATCACGTTGCCCCCTCCCTCATTTCAGCTTCCTTTTCATGTTGTCTTCCCCAATTACTTTCTAAGCTCTTTGAGGGCAGAGATTATCTTTTTCTTATTTGAATCCCCAGCACTTAGCACAATAGCTGGCACTTAATAGGCACTTATTTTTTTTTAAGGCAATTGGGGCTAAATGACTTGCGCAGGGTCACACAGCTAGTAAGTGTCAAGTGTTTGGTCTGAGGCCGTATGTGAACTTAGGTCCTCCTGACTTCAGGGCTGGTGCTCTATCCACTGCTCCACTGCACCACCTAGCTGCCCCCTTAATAAATGTTTACTGAACTGAAATGACTTGATGACTTTAGGGTAGAATATATTAATTTAACAAGAATTTATTCAATTCTCAGATCTTCTTAATAAAGGTAAAGTATTTCTGTCTCTGGACAAAGAGAAGACTTTGGAGAGGATGTCCCTATTTCTGTCAAAACCATCACCATTCTTCCAGTGTCCCAGGTGCAGACCCTTCGTATTATCCTCAACTCCTTATTTTCTCTTACCCCATATAACCAATCAATTAATAAGTTTTGCTGTCCCTACCTCCATATCTTTCACATCTACATAGCTCACCTATATTCAGCAGAGTAATCCCAATTACTCACACAGCTGCCATCTTAGTTCAGACCTTCATCCTACTTCAAGTCTAACCTGACTCCAGTTTTTCCTACACTAAGACTGGGCAAACTAATTTTCCTTAAGCCAGACTGATCATGTTACTCTACTCAATCAATTCCAGTGGTTCCCATAGACTCTAAGCAAATTCTTTTGTTCAGCTTTTAACATCCTTTAAAATATGGCTCCAATCTATCTAGTCATAAATAACTAGAGAAATATTCATTGCTTATGGCTAAGTTTTGACAATATAATAATATAATAAAAATAACACTATCAGCTAAATTAATTTATTTATACAGCGTCATATCTATCAAACCACCAAAGAATTATTTTTGTAAAGCTATAAAAAATAATAACAAAATTCATCGGGAGGGAAAAAACGGTGAGCATATCCAGGGAATGTAGAAAAAATAATCAGATCTGCCTCTCCTTTTTCAAGATGTAACACAAACAACACCTTCTATACAAAGCCATTCCTGATTATCCCCAACTGCTAGTGCCCTCTCTCCCTAATAATCTTGTACTAATTTCTAGTTGTTTCACAACTTGTATTTGTACATAGTGTCTCTCCCCATAGAAAAGAAAAGGTCCTTGAGAGGAAAGATGGTCTCATTGTTTTAAATTTTAAAGACCAGAGCCTAGACCAGTTGCTGGTAAAAGGAGGTATTTGTTGCCTGTTGACTGATTATTGACTCCAAGTTCAGCACCAAACATCATGCAACAATGCCTCTCATCAAAAGCAAAAGAAATCTGCTGAAATCTGTGATAGCTTCTAGAAAAGAAATATTGAACATTACAGTTCAGCAAGATTCTAAAACGTAACCCTTTAGAATGATTACAATAGAATACTATTATGAACAAGTATTATATGGGGAAAAATAAAGTCTCTGAATGCTTGAAAACCAAACACTGAAATATACTTAGTAGAATAATTCATTCCTGCTTTAAAAAAATATATGGGGGGCGGCTATGTGGCACAGTGGATACAGCACAGGCCCTGAAGTCAGGAAGACCTGAGTTCAAATCCGCCTCAGACACATAATACTTCCTAGCTGTGTGACTCTGGGCAAGTTACTTAACCCCGACTGTCTCACTTTAAAAAGAAATGGCTATTCTCTACATAAATTGCGGGAGGTGTTGGGGGGGGGAGAAATGACATAATAACTACCATTTATAATTATTTTCTGGTTTACAAAAATCCCTACAAATATTATTTCATTATATATCCATACCACAATCCTGGGAGGTAGGTGCTATAATTGTCCTGATTTTACAGAGAAAGGCACACAAAGTTTAAGTGACTTGCCCAGGGTCAAAGACAACTACTGTGTCTGAAGCATTTTTTTTTAACTCAAGTCTTCCTAATTCCAAGTCCTGTGCTGCATCTACTGTACATCTAGTTCCCTCTATATATCATCACAATAATATAACAAAAAATAGACCTCTTCACTGAACACAATTCTCAATATGCCACTCCTTCATTCAACAAAGCATTCATCTATACTATGTATTTCCACGGCAGCATTAACCTATACACTGAGATAACATTTAATAATACATGCATATTATATAATAAGTAAAACATAAATGCTGTAATATTGTACTTACCTAATCCTTTAGGAATAATGCCACTGCTATCAGCAGGATTAATAACCCAATAGTAATATTTCAATGTGTGCATTAGCTGTAATACTGTTCCAACTCTGCGTATGGTAGTGTAGATGGTAGCAGTTCCAATAAATTCAGCAGATAAATAGGTATACAAAGAAAGTTGAACCTAATAAATAATATATAATATGAATGCCTAGCAATTAATGGAACCAAAAGGATAAGAATTAATAGATATTTGTTACAAATGTTTGTTTTATTTCAGGTTAAATATACATACTTTTAAATATTAAAATTTAAATAAATTTGAACAAAATATTCAATTATTCCCCTAAGTCTCCTTCAAAATATTTGAGTGTCCATTTCCCATTCAATTTTCGTTTTATATGGTCTTGGTTCTGCTATAATGCCTGAGTTATTTCCATTATATTGATCTACTAAAATTCATTTGAACATTCTCCCATAGTTGGATGGATATTTTTTATTTTTCTCAATTTTTTTATAATTACAAATAACACCACTTTATCAAGCTTTGAAAAGATTTATTCTTCTTTCCCCCCCAATAACTATTTTGGGCCATATTTCCATCAAAAGAATTTACTGGTATGAGTATGATTTGGGGGGGAGGGGGAGATAATTTTTACTATTTACCACCAGACTGCTTTCCAAAGGATTCTACTGTTTTTCCATTTGACAACTGTAACAGTATATGTGTTTCTATCAAACTCATGAATATTAAATTTAGTTCTTTTAATTTTTTTTGCCTAGTGGAGGACTATGAGATGGCACCACAACCTTGTTTTGACTGTGCATTTTTTTGTTAATGAGGATGAGTTCATTTTAAATGACTACTAACACTAATGAGTTTCTTCTGAAACTGTCTTTGTTTCATTTGCTCCTTGAAGACTAGGAGTTTATATAGTATGCACTGAAAGTCTAAATCCATTTCCCCACCAAAATGCTATTTTCCAGAATATATTTTGTTAACTAGTGAATCAATCCCTCAATTTTTATTCTCTATACATTTACTGAAAACTGCTCTTTTGCACATATTTGGTTGGACTCTGCTTCTCAAGTGAAGATCTCTTTTTTCTTAGTACCACATAGTTTTGATGATATTAGTTCTGTGATATGTTTAAAAGAGGTATATATTTTGGTTTTTTAGGATCACTGATCCAGTCAGTCAGTTTTATACATTTATTAAGCACCTACTATGTGCCAGAAATTGTGCTAAATGCTAAAGAGATGCCAAGAAAGACAAAAGACAGTCCCTGCTGTCAAGTAGCTCAAAATCTAATGGGAGAAACAACATGGAAACAAGTATGTACAAATATGTAAATGCATATATATGTATATGTATATATATGCATATATACATACACACACACACACACACACACACACATACAAGACAAAATGGAAATAAAGAAAATAGGGGAGGCTCTATAATGAAGAAAGATAGGGAAAGACATCTAGTAGAAGATAAAATTGCAGCTGGGACTTGAAGGAAGTCAAGTGGCGGAGATGAGGAGGAAAAGCATCCAATTCATTAGAGATGGACAGTGAAAATGCCCAGAGTTGGGAGTTAAGGTATCTTAATCAAGGGAAAGCAACGTCAGTTATCACTGGATCACAGAGAGTTTAAGATATAAGAAGACTAGAAATGAGCTAGGAGAGACAGATTATGAAGTATTTCAAAAGACAAATAGAGAGTTTTATATTTCATCCTGAAGGTAATAGGGAGCTACTGGAAGTGGCTTTAAAATACTGGAGTATGAGTGGAGAGAAGAGAGATATGTGACATAGTCAGACCTGAACTTCTGGAAGATGAAGATGCAGAGGTGTGGGGATCAAATTTTGTTAGGTATACCAATTATCAGGCAATTGCAATAGTTTAGACATGAGGAGATGGCAATGTCAGAGGTAAAAAGGGGATATATACGAGAATTGTTACAAAAGTAGAATTGACAGGCCTTGGCAACAGAATGGATATGGGAGATAACTAAGAGTAAGTGAAGGATGACATGTAGGGGGGCAGCTAGGTGGCGCAGTGGATAGAGCACCGGCCCTGAATTCAGGAGTACCTGAGTTCAAATCCGGCCTCAGACACATAACACTTACTAGCTGTGTGACCCTGGGCAAGTCACTTAACCCCATTGCCTAGCAAAAAAAAGAAGGAAAAAAAGGATGACTTGTAGGTTGCAAGCCAGTGGGACTGGGAGGTTGGTGGTGGTGTAGACAATAAGAGAAATGTTAGGAAGACAGGATGAGCTCAGTTCTGAACCTGCTGAATTTAGGGTTTCTACAGCACATCCTAGACATGGGAAGACAGGTTAGGGCCAGATTGACTAACAGGAGAATCATCAAGAAATGTGATCATTGAATCCATGAGACCTAATGAAATCAACAAAATAAATAGTAGGAGAAAAGACCTCAAGAGAGAACCCTGTGGAACATCTACATTAAGGACACATGAAGATCCTGCAAGAGAAATTGAAAAGGAGTGGTTGGACAAGCAGGAAGACAACCAAAAAAGAGAAGTGTCCAAAAAATAAAAAAACCCTAGAGAAAAGAAAGTATCAAGAAAAGAGTGAATGACAGTGCCAAAAGCTTCAGAAAGATCAAGAAGAATGAAGACTGAAAAAAGGCCATCAGATTTGGCAATTCAAGAGATCACTGGTAACCTTGGAGAGGTCAGTTTCAGTTGATAGTGAGGATGACTATAGAGAGTTAAGAGAGTGAGAGGAAAGGAAGTGGAGGAATGTATTGAAGATATCTTTCCCAGGGAATTTTAACAACAAAATGGAGGAAAAATATGGGACAATATTCAGCAGGAATGGAAAGATTAAGTGATGGTTTCTTGAGCATAGGAGAAACCTGGGTATTTTTGGAGGCAATAGAGAAACAGTCAGTATTCAGTGAGAGACTGAAGATAAGTGAGAGAGTGAGAGTGAGAGAGAGGATAATCTGACAGAGAAAATAGAATCAAATAGGATTCAGAGTTGAAAGGGACCCTCAGAGACCATCTAAACCAATCCCCTGATTTAAGATATTATAAAACAAATAAGCAATATTCAGATATGTCAAAGCATGTTACTTTTTAAATATTTTAGTATGTTTTTTTTAACCTTAATTTTTTTAACAGTAGAAATAGAAAATACCTATACTAAAAATAAGCTTCTTTATTGAAACATTTAAGTAAAAAGAGTAAAATTAATAATGACATAATCTATAATAATAAAAATGATAAAATGTAAATGACAAAAGGCTAGAAGAATTTTTTAAAGATATGGAGCAATGATGGCTGGGGCCTCAAGGCCACAGGTTCCCCATCCCTGACTTAGACCAACATGCTCTGGCAATGCCTAAATATATCTTTTTCTCCTAATACCACACATTGTTGAGCATAAAAGTTACTTGACATGCAGTAGAATGCAGAGCACTAGCAGCAAGCTTAGCTTCAATTTCTACATCAGTGTCTTGCATGTAACAAGTCACTGCACCTCTGGACCTCAGCTAGTTCATCGGTAAAGCAGATGCTGAAGCCCTGTCACCTCACAGAACCACTATGAGGACAGCCTCTTAAAATTTTAAAGAATTAGAAGTGTGAAGATTTAGAAAGAAATGGAAAACCCATTTCCAAACAAGTCAATCCAATTGATTTTTGAACAGCTCTCAGTGTTAGGAAGGTTTTCCTGATACCAAACACATATTTGCCACTTAGAAACTTCCACCAATTACTTCTAGTTGACCCCTGAAGCCAAAAAGAACAAATCTAACTTGCATTATACATAAGAGATAATAATACCTACCTCATAAGCACTATAAAATTGGGTCAAAAGGCCTCAATTCCTTGAGGTCAGGAATTATATAATTTTTTTTCTTTTTCTATCTCCAAGGTCTGTATCAATTCCAAGCACACAGGTATTTAAAAATGTTTTTAAAACAGAAAAATGAATTGTACATTTATTAATTTACTCACCCATAAACATATAATTATGTTACATATTTTAGTTTCATTTTTAAATGTTTTTGATCCCAGAAACTTTAAGAGAATGTAAAATATTACTGTGAATTTTTTCATTATATCATAAATAGCTAATGCTCATTAAGTCTCTAAGGTGTATATGAAGATCCTATTGTAACCACAAAATAGCTTTACAAACTGCTTCATTCCCTTCAAAGAACATTACTACAACTATTGCTGCTGCTGCCACCTCCTCCTCTTTATTTCTTCCCCAGATTGGTACAGTATTTCCAATTCCTTACAATGTTGCTACAGATGTTTTGGTGGTTGGATTTTGTTTTGTTTTCCTTTGTTTTTTTTCAATGTGCTGGATGAAGTACTTAAACTCAGATTTTCCTGACTTTGAAGCCAGATCTGTATACACTAAACTCCTTGGTTTTTAATGAAATAGTTCCTATAAACATACTTCCCACTTTACAAATATGGAAACTGAAGCTCAGAGAAGTTAAAGAATCTACCCATGGTAACAGCAGATTTGTCAGCTAGTAACAGCAGAGCTGGGATTAAAACCCACATCTCCTGATTTTTAAGTTCAATGCTCTTTAATTTATCTCATGCAAGCCTAACACACTCTTAGTCCAAAGCAGTAGAAATTTTTTAAAAATGCCTTCCCTTCCTTCAGGAAGTGGAACTAGGTTGAAAAAGAATCTTCCAGGATATTTCTTCTTGATAGACAGTATGGCATAGCCTTATTGTCAGCAAGATTTGCCTTACTGTCAGCAAGAACCGGTTCGAGGAGCAGCTAGGTGGCACAGTGGAGAGAGCACTGGTCCTAGAGTCAGGAGGACCAGAGTTCAAATCCAGCCTCAAACATATAACACTCACTAGCTGTGTGACTCTGGGCAAGTCACTTAACCCCAACTGCCTCACTAAAAAAAAAAAAACAAAAAACCTGGATCCAACCCTACCTGTGATACATGCTGGCAGTATGACAGGGGTCAGACCACTTGATCTCTCAATGCTCCTAGGCAACTCTCTAAGACTTTAGGTTAGAGAAGATTGCCTAACTATATCAGGAGAGTTAGATTCCACACTAGTAATTCTAAAAACATGGAGGAAATCACAGTCCCAGAAAAAAAAAAGTCTTCAATTCTAAAAACTAAAAAATTACTTCAAAAAAAATCATTTAACTTCATGTTAAAATTAAAAGGTTATAGTACTTTTGTTTGGATATTTTAATTACAGCAAATCAAAACTATATCTTAAAACAAAAGGAATATGAATAATATCAACCAAATACCTTTGCAGGGGTATGTATCCAGATGGCTGGGTTGAAAAGGATGTGATCACAAAGCTGCTTCAATAATGGTGCTCCATGAGACAAACCATCAAGATACTTTGCAAAGGACAAAAATTGTTCCAGAACCGCTCTGGTTATGTGAACTCTGGATGACTAAAAAAAATTAAAATCTTGTTAGAATTAAGTTTCTTTCCAGAATATCACACTGGAAAATGTTGGACATAGTAAAAAAAAAAAAAAAAGATAAGGTTTTAGTCACGTATTAATGCAGTTGAGGGTTTTTTCCATAATCCCTTTAGGATCTGTAATAAAAGCAGTTTAATTATTTTAATTTGGTCTGCCATTTAAAATATTTTATTTAGTTCCAAAAGATGCTGGAATCTAAAAAAAAATATTTTTCAGGCAGTTTGTTTTGTAACTATTGCTAGGGACAACTTTGGCTAAATAAATTCTGTATATACATAATGTACTACACTCAGTACAGTTTAAAAAAGTGAAATAAGAAAGGCAAAAACAAAGTTTCATTTTCAGCCTAGAGAACTAAATGGTGGAAAAAAATTTTGTGACTGAAGGGATCTCCCTAAATATGGGTTTTTATAATTAAATTAATATATATCTCAATAATTAGTGACTTCAAAGAAAAGGCAGGTATAGGGGAAAGATGATAAAAAAAAAGATTGGAAAACATGGCTAAGGAGTAAAAAACAAGAAAAGTGAAAGGCTTATATACCATACAGAAGCACTGTCCATATAGTAAATCAATTTAATTCACTGAATATTTATTAAGTGCCTCTTATGTGCCAGGTACTGTGCTAAGGGTTGGGGATACAAAAAGAGGCAAAAGATAGTCTCTATCCTCAAGGAGCTTAATATATAATGGGGGAGACAACACAGAAATAAACATATACAAAACAAGTTATACACAGGATAAATAGGAAATAATTAAAGAAGGGAAAACAATGGAGGGGTTGGGGAAGGTTTCCTGTAGGAGGGAGGATTTTAATTGGGACTTAAAAGGAAGCCAGGGAGGTCAGTAGCCACAGTAGAGGAGGGAGAACATTCCAGGAATGAAGGACAGCCAGAGAGAAGAGACAGAACATCTTGTTCCTAGAACAGTCAGAAATCCAGTATCATTGGGTTGAAGAGTCTATATTGGGAAGTAAGGTGTAAGGAGACTGGGAAGGGAGGGGCTAGGTTATAGCAGAGTTTGAATGCCAAAGAGAACATTCTATATTTGTTCCTAGAGAACAAAGGAAGTCACTGGAATTTACTTGGGGTGTGGGGGTGGTCTGGGAATGATCCAACCTGCATTTTAGGAAAATCTCTTTAATGGACGAATGGAGAATGGATTAGAATGAGGAAAGATTTGAGGCAGGCAGACCCACCAGCAGACTATTGCAGAAATAAAGGTTTGAGGTACTGAGGGCTTCCATTAGAATGGTGGCAGTGTCAGAAGAGAGAAAGGGGCATATTCAGGGAATGTTGCAGAAGTGAAATCGTCAGGCCTTGGCAACAGCTTGGATATGGAGGGTAAGAAACAGTGAGGAATCCCAGATGACTCCTAGGTTGCAAGCTGGAAGGACTGAAATGATGGTGTTGCCCTTTTACAATAACAGGAAAGGTAGGGGTGGGGATATTTTAAGAGGAAAGATCATGAGTTCAATTTTGGATATATTAAGTTTAAGATGTCTACTGCACATCCAGTTCAAGACGCCTGAAAGGCAGTTGGAAAACCGACATCAGTGGTCAGCAAAGACACTGGGGTAGAAAAGGTAGATGAGAATCATCACTACAAAAACGGTAATTATATCCAAAATATTTTGAGAAGGTAGGTGATGAACATGGCAAGCATCAAATAACTTTTTAAAAATGAAACTTAATATACTTTTAACAGATTTGAAATGAGTGGTTAATGATTTATTCATCATTCCTGGATCCATTTCCGGATCAAAATCTTTGCTCAAATCAATGCCAAACCAAAAGGCTAAAAGTGAGAAAACAGTCAATTGAGAGTAATCCTACCTGCCCTACATAAACAACATGTTGATACTGAAAAATGGACAAAAGAGCAACAAATACACCTTTTCTTAAAGAAGTTGACCTAACCAAGAAGCCTAGAAAGCATCTCAGCCAGCAAATATTTTATCTTCTTAAAGATTACATAAATATGGAAGCTAAAGGCAATACAAATTTAGAATCTAAACTCTGGGCAATGACAGATGAGACTGGAAGAACAAACAAAATAAATAGGAGAGATCTGCAAAGATTTTTTATGATAAGCACTTTACTCTATCAATGCCAAAGGAACTAGCAGATTTAGACCCTGAAAGCTTGCATGAGAAAACAGAAACAGCATTTAACTGGCCAAAACTAAGTACGTACAATGGAGGCACATGCTAGAGATGGCAAAATTTTTAGGCTGTTGAGGAAGAGATGGATTATCAAAGTATCTGAAAGAAGGTGAGCTATCAAATGCTTGGAGGGGGGAAAAAGGGTGCTCCTATTAAAAAAAACACTGAGAATATATTAATTACTTGTAAACTATATATGCACACTTTCTTATCTCTACCAAATTTTCATTAGAATAATCTACACATTCATCAAAGGTATACATTCATAAAGGGTATATACTTGAAAAAGGTAATAGAAGCGAAGAGGCAGGCTTCCACAAATGATATTCTATAATAGACCACATATTTAGTCACAAAATTGACAAAAAGCTATGTCAAATACAAGATCCAATTATATTTATGTTGATAGTTGGCTGACTTGAGAAAAAAAACAGTAAAATAAAGCCTTACAAGTCACCTTCTACAAGAAGCCTTCCCTAACCCCTCTAAATTCTATGGATTTCCTTCTTTTAATTATTTCCTTTTTATTCTACTGATGGCCTGCTTTACATATATTTGTTGCATGTTGTCTCCCCCATTCTATTATAAGTCCTCCTCCAAGGACTATCTTTTTTGCCTTTTTTTGTGCGCCCAGGGCACAGAATAGAAAGACACATGCTCACAAAGGCATTTGATATTTTCACATAGGCTGTCTAGCAGAGTCTGAATATAAAATTGATTTGCTATTAAAAAGTAAGGTCTCTCCCCATATGTTCTTTTTTCAAAATGATACTGGGCTGGATTATATCATGTCTTGGAACACTGCAAAGCTGCCTAATGAAATCTGTCACTCCTCAACAGAGTTCAGTCAACCCACCCACACAGATAAACCAATTGGATGAATACCTACTGCCCACATTCTGATATGCAGTTGGATGGACAACCATAGTGAAAATTCCGTGTGTGTGTGTGTGTGTGTGTGTGTGTGTGTGTGTGTGTAAAGGACAGTGAACATGGACAATGAGGAGCTTGGAACAGTAGAGGGAAAGTGGGCTGAACTACCTTCATGAAACTGCTCAGTACTTTTAACAACCCCAAGATTCTCCCAGAAACAAAAACCCATCGCTTTAACGTCAATATTCTTCTGGTATTCTTGTATGGGAACAAATCAAGGAAAACCAATCTATGAAGAATTAAAATTAAAATGGGGGCACTGGCAGTGACCCAAAAAAGTAAAATATTACTAGCATAAAGTAATCTTTTTTATCTCATCTAGCAGTTTCTTCTTCTGGACTAGGAAAAAGAAATCTGTTGGATATAGAAGAAAAAGTAGAAGGACTTCTATGGTAAGAATAAATTAACAGGAAAAGTTTTTGACACAAAGTTAAATGTATTGGTTGATACTACTTCTGAAATCAAGGAAAGAGACAAAGGCCTAAAAATGGTCATAATTTAGAAATAATCAACAAATACACTAAACTAGGTAGATCTTAGGATTTCTTTTGTGCTTTTTTGTTTTTTGCTTTAAAAGTTTGCTCAAAACACATCTGTCTTGAGGTGTTTAAGTTGCTGAAGTATAACTTTCTACAAAGAGATTATCTTTGATAAATAACTAAGGAAGAAGGGAAGGAAAAGCAAGGTCAGTCAGAAAAAGGACAACATGACAGAATCATGATTCAAAAATGTCTTGAATAGTTGAAACTAAGATGAAATTTAACAAGGGAAAATTTTAAATCCTACATTTTGGTATAAATCAAGTACACCAGTACGAGCTGAAAAGAAATATCTTGACAGAAATTTATTAATTTCCCATTTTGCACTGGCTCATGGAAATTTATCATGTTTCTCTGAATTTCTCAGATTCATGTTTTCCTTTGTGTACATGAGGTTTTCATGATCACTCCCTATCTCATTAAAATGTATTTTAAAGGTTAAAAAAAAACACACAAAAAAGCAAAACTATTCAATTATATTCATATACCACAAGTGTTTGGTCACTCCCCAATTATGGGGCACCCACTTGTTTCTAAAACTATCATACAGAGTTGGACTATAAATATTTTGCTTATTCATGAAACGTTTCCTTTGCATTGACCTCCTTGGAATATGTGACCAATGGTGGAATTGATAGTACAAAGGGTATGAACAAGTTTTTTTACTATTCTCACATAAATACCAATTGCTTCCACAACAATTGGACCACTTCACATTTCCACCACCAGTATATTAGTGTGTCTGTCTTCCTACAGTCTCTATTCCCATTAACTATTTCCATCTTTATCCAACATTAGACATTTGATGAATGTAAACATCAGAGTTGTCTGAATTTGTAATTTTCCATTTGTTAGTGATTTGGAGTTGGCAATTAATGATTTTGGCTATGGACAGCCTACAATTCTTTTAAAAACATTATGCATTGAACACTTTTCTATTTAGGAATGTCTTTTTCTCTTATATAGCTATCAACTTTTTATATATTTTGGATGGCAAAAATATTTAATGCAATGATTTCTCCATACTTTTAAATTTAGCCTTGATAGTAGTTGCATTGATTATGTAACTGTAAAAGCTTTTAAAATTTGTATCATAAAAATTATCTACTTTGTTTCTGTGATTTCTTCTGTCCTGTTTTTGGCTATGAATTCTTGAAAGATGCCTCTTTCTAATTTTCCTATAGCATTTTTTCTTATGTACACTTTTTACAGCTGGACATCTCATGCATTTGGAATTTTAACATAATACACTGCACAAAATATTAATCCTAAGCCTATTTTCATAACCAAATTGCCTTACAGTTTTCACAGCAGATCTTTTCTAAAAAAAGATTCCTTTCCCCTCTAATCTTTGTTCTTGAACTACTCTGTTCATATCCTTCAGGTGTTCGTGGTTAATTTTTCCAATGATCAAAATTTCGATTTCAGTGACAGACCCACATATCACTATTATTTTCATATGGTTTGACATTTGTTTTTTCTTCTATTATCAAATATCTGTAGAACAACTATACAGTGTTTGCCAGTTAAAGAGAAATGAAGCAAGTTAAATTATTTATAAATTAATGTTACAATATAAACAAATGTTATTAAACATCTATTTAAGTACACTTTCCAATGCCACAAATGACTTTAGCTTTTTTAACCAACAATCTTGAGCTCTTGTGGTTTATCTCCCAAGTCTCCAGAGTCACAGGTCAATATCAACTTCCAATCATAAGCTATTTCTATTTACACCCTATCAAGAATGAGGCTAACAATATTTATGGTAGTTTTCTGTGAAATTACATTACTTGCAATATCACTTCTTCCAATGCAAGGGAAACTAATAAATCAGTTCTTATCTTCCAGTTTAAAGCATGATTTACAAACTAACTCAAAGGGGAAGAAGAATGCATCCTGACAGAAAAGGTAAGCAGTTCGACATTTATCCAAATTAGGTTGTACTGAAATAAAACTTCAGTACCATTTAGTGAACTCTGAATTTATGGTTATATTTTCATTAATATGGTTATAGAAAAGATAATTCTAATACTCAGTTTCTAGCACACTATAATTAAAGAGTGTAAATAAAATGACAAAGTAGGTAACATAGCTATACATGCCTTGCTTGAACTATTTTTAGATGTTCTCATGATTTCTTCAAATTTAGATAATCCATAAATGCTTTCACTCTAAATACAGACCTATTTCTAAAATACTCATTGGTGAATGCCAACAAAGTAAAATTTAAGTAGAGAGGAACCTTTCACTAACCCCAAATTACATACAAAGATCAGAACAAAAGAGAAACAGGAAAGATAGAAAACTTCCTGGCAAATATAGAAAAAATATTAAAAATTAAACCTAAATTAAAGTACATGTAGCTTAATGCAAAAGTTTACGCATAAAGAATATTAACATAGCAATAACATAGAGAGAAAAGGGTCTCCCAAGTAGTGTTTACCTCGAGTATAAAAATGAAAATTTCAGAAAGTTATAGTCTTTTTATTTGATTTTATAATTAAAAAGTTAAGAGAAAACTAAAATAATGAAACATTTTGGACATATTCTGAACAAAAATGTGTTTTAAACAATAGACAAGCTAGGTTAAGAACACAAAAAGATAAACTGAAAAACAAACTACACTACATGAAAGATGAAATGAAGTAAATGAATTTAAGTTCCTTTGTGAATTTGATTTTCTAAGATCCTTTTACTCAAAAAATTTTAATAACTTAAAATCCTAAGAAAACATAGCTCCAAATCTTATTTGAGTCTGTCTACACTGTAAAATGTGTGACTTTGGAAAGAAATATTTCCCTTTGGATAGAAAAGAACAGAAAAATAATTACAACTATGTTCTATTTGCTATACTTTTGAAGTTGCATAGTAACAATCATTACTTACCTTCTCAAGTAGGTAACCAATGACTAGAAAGCCTTTTCCACCCAGCATCTGTTCTTGCATGGCCACTGAACTCTTCAGCAATTCAACGAGGAATGCCAAAAGAGTCGCACTGTATACAAAGTATAGTTATATAGATAATGAACAAAATTGGATTATAAGTTGATTTCTATTTATACTATCATTTTATTAGAAAAAAGATAACAAAATAACATTCAAATCTAATATAAAGTTTATTTTCTCACATTACCTTTCATGAAAAACAAATGTGAAAAAAATTACACTTTCATTCTTTAAGTTTCTATCACAAACTTATTTTATATTAGATACCACCTGAGTGTCATGAACATAGGACTTTGATGTAGACAAAGTCCAAACATGCACAGTTTACAGACACACACACACACAGAGGTATACCCACTTTAAGCAAATCCAAACATGAAACTCTGAATTTGTAAAAATACAACATCAGAGGTTGAATCCCTTTACCAAAGGCAACACTAAAGGCCTACTTTAAAATTACAAAATAATAATGTAAACACATTAATATATAAGCAAAGACATAGGAAAACCTCTATTGTCTAAAACTGGATACACTATTAAAAGAGGTAGAGATCATATTATGTTACATTATATGTACATACATATATGCACATACATGTCATATGTGCATTCATTTTAAGCAAAGATATGAAAAAACTGAAAAGATTAAAAAATTAAATGATTAGGTTTCAAACAAATTGAGATGTACAAGCATGTAAACTCAAAAAAACCTGTATTCACTAAATTCCATCAAGAAATGACTTGACAAATTAATCAGAAAGAACAAACTTTCTAAGAAGGATTGTGGACCTATAAATGTATTAGGATGAATTATGAATGTTTTGATCCTTTATGTTCATACCACAGAATTATAAAAATCAGTAATTTAAAAGAAAAGATGCACTGACATTCAGACTATTAACATCCTACTTACAATGTTTTTTTTAATCCATCAAATACTACCAAATTGACATTCCATATATTTGAGTAAAAGTAATTTGAGTAAAGTAATTTGGAAATTAATTTTAAGTTAATAGTTAAAATATTTATGTCCCATAATCAATATAAAATAAAATTTAATTATAGGATGAAAGGTTGAAAATGATCCCAGAAATAAGACAAGCTTTAAATTTTACTCTATAGTCATCCCAAACAAGAAAACTTTTCATGTTTCTTTACAGTTACCAAAAAAGGCACTCTGTTAAATTTATGTTTCATTAATATTAATCGTGCTCAAAGTCAGACTTACAATCAAGGATAGAATTAATGTCAAAATTAGAAAAATCATTAGAAAAGACAGAAAAGCTGATGATGTATTTTATATGGGTGAGATAAAAATACTATCCAAAAATCAAAGACTCCTTTGCCAGAAAATAAAGTTTTATATACAAGAGAGCAAAAATATTACCTGGCCCTACAATGTCAAACCACAAAATTTTAATTACTACACAATTTTGCAATTCAGTGATATTCTAGTAACTTTCTCCTTCAAAGTATTGATAAACTTTTCCCATAAAGACACAAATACTAAATAATCAAATTAAAGCTAATAAGAATCACTTCCATTTAAATGAAACAAGCAAAAAGGCAAGGGCACTTTATGAGTGTTAGCTTCTTAAATTCTATTGCACCTAGCACTTCTGTCTGATTGACTGCAAAGATCAATAACACCTGTAGTATGTAGATTACATGATTTCCTAACCTATACATATAACTCAGAGAAATGTGAATTAAGGATTTTAGGGTCAGGAGGTGGAAGAAGGTGAATATAGTTCCTAAATATTAATATTTCCAAAAAGAAAGATAAGAAAAGCCTCACAATAGTCCATCAAATAATCCAAAAAAACTATATTGGATACTAGAGATACCTCTCCTATGCAGAATCACTATTAAAATTACAAGGATATCATGGGTTTCCTCATTTTGTTTCATGACTAACCGTCTCTTCAAGCATCCAATAAATTAAATCTGACCTCCAAACACCATGGACTTTAATCACGAAGAAAAAAGCCATTAATTTCATTATCTCTTATCCCCAAATCTTAAAACTTAGCTAGCTGGAATTTTAAAGGACATCAACATCAATTAAGTCAGCAACTGAAAGGACGATTGCATTTACTAAGTGAAATCTTTCAGAACTTACAGATGCAACCAATGGATATATTAGCAATACCATATCATTTAAAAGAACCTTCAAAATAGGTTAGAGTTGACATGGTGGAAGTAAAAGTAATTAGATGGCCATCTTCCAAGAGGAACATTTTCAAACAGAATTTAACAAACTTACCAGTAACTAAAATGCATCGGTTTGCTGCAGGGCTCACATTAAACTTGCAAAATTCTGTGTACTGCCATACAAAATTTCTCTCCATTCTTGCCTATTTCCAACTCCCCTAGATACAAAGGCAAATATAAAGGATACTTCAGCCCATTCCTATACTCCTACATACCACTTCCTGTCTAGAACACATCAGGTCATCTACTGAGCAACTAAAGATATATACCAAAATAACAAGTATCCATGTCAACCAGAGCTAATATAAGCATAATCTACCATTCTGTTGAAAGGTACAACAATACTGGGCAACTAATTTTCAGTCACATTTTATCTAAAACAAGCAAAAATGTATTAATTCTTATATTGTAAAATTGCTAAACTTTTCAACAGATAGCACTATACTATAGTATATTCTTGAAATAAAAAGAATAAATTCTGCTTTAGGAGTGCCTTTTCTTCTCACCTACCTTTTAAAGAATATTGGATGATATTGATAATCTATTACTAAAATTTTCCTTAAAATTAATGAATCTTAAAATTCTTAACAAATTACAATTAAGTTAAGAAGCAATATTTCTCTGAAATTTCACACTTTTAAAAGGAAGATTCCTTGGGAATCATCAAGAAGACAGAATGACAACCTTCCCCCCAACTTTTTTGTTTATTTCCTCTTTCTATAGCTTACTAGCCTATTATTCATAGAAACTATTACCTTCCTAACATACATGCAAAATTCTCAGAAAACATTTAGAAACTATAAATACAAGTTCTTCTAATTAAACTCTATGCTAGATTTAAATATAAATATATAAACCTAATAAATGTGGATTCTTTAAGTTATTTAGAAATTACTTACATAAAATTATGTTGTTTAATATAATTACCAATGAGAAATGATTGATAAATTATATTCATGGCAACCATAATCTCAAGAGCTTTAGGAAATGTTGACTTTTTATTCATTACATGAAACAAAATACTGTGACAAAAGAATACATTTGGAAAACATTTTGACTTAAATAAGAATAAATCAATAAGGTCATTAGTAATATGAAGAAAGTTGCTAAAGGTCAGAAAATCTGTTCAACTTGTTTTTTGTGTTACAACTTGGAAGTACTATAAAGAGAACACTTCAATAGATGCTATTTAATTTTAAAATGTAGAGAAACAGCAAGATGGATGCTGATATTTATGATTTCTCCTTTTTAAAGATATTTAGAAGTCACTTTTAAGGCTGGTAAAACCTACTAGCAACAGATAATTGATCAGTGAATTCTTTAATGACAGAATAAAAACTTGCAAAGGGAATTCGAACACTATAGATAAAAGGAAGAGGGGAAACACAATAATGCTTTACTTTGGCATATGCAGAAGGTCCAGTTAACTTTAGCACTAATAAATGCTTCACAAAAATTGTTTGGTATTAAGAACATATTCCACTTCTCTAGAATGTAACAATGAAATGATCTGAGGAGTTACCTGATGCCATCTATTTACTCCCTGTTAAGAGCAAAAACTCTTCCTAAATAAAGATGATACTAGCAACAAGAAAAAGTCAGCATGAAGGAAACCATTTTAGGACATATCAAAAATAATTCTTCCCTAATTACTCAAAAATCCTTCCAAAAGTTAGTAAAATTTTATTCTTTGACAGTTAAATAATTAAAAGAATGATTTAAAACAAGTATCAATAATCCTAGCTATATGTGGTCCTCAATTTTATGAATATATCCACATCGGACCATACTGAAGACGATTATCTTAAAACAATTCACCAGAGGAAATACTTAATGCATGTGCTTTTGCTATCCTTTCTTTAGACATATTAATGCTCCTTAACAGCAGAGATTATTTTTTTTCCTTTGGATCCTCAGCACCACGCATACAGCCCAGCACAGATGCTTGGGGATTCTAAGTCAGTGGGGTCAAACTCAAAACAGAAAGAGATCCCTACTGATCCCAATACTGACTTAGAAAATTACAAATTAACACTGTATTGTACTTTTTTCATTTTATTAAACATTTACTAATAAATTTTAATGTAGTTCAGGCTTACTTAAGAGTTTTGCTGGCAAGGGGCAGCTAGGTGGCACAATGGATAAAGTACCGGCCCTGGAGGACCTGACTTCAAATCCAGCCTCAGACACATAACACTCACTAGCTGTGTGACTCTGGGCAAGTCACTTAACCCCAACTGCCTCACCAAAAAAAAAAAAAAAAGAGTTTTGCAGGCACTAAGTTTGACACCTCAGGTCTAGGCCTTTCATTACTTATCAGACACTTCAAGCACTTTAATCTAGAAATTTAAAGGGGACTGACTGACAAGGATTCCATGGTGGCTCTCTTTTGAGTCCAACCAGATACCAAATAGAATCCGTGTTTCAGTAGCTGACCAAAATGGTAACAATCTACTAAGGTATATTGCATTACTTTTGCCACCGCCAAAACTGAGAAAATCAAAACTTATATAATCTTGATGTTACAGATATGTAGCTTTTTTGCATCTGACAAAAACATTTATTGATGTACACATGCCTATTATGCTGACATGTAAAAGTCAGCCGCTTTAACATGATGAGAGCTTGGATTTTTGAAAGTTATTCCACAGGAATCATAGGATTATAGAATCGTTGACAGATTAGTGCTGGAAATGATGTTAGATATTCTTTACCAAACACTTTAATTTGAAAGGCTAAATAAGTAATTAAAGCCCAGAGGAAAGTGACTTGGCCAAAGTCATACTGTTAGTAAATGGGAAAACTGGGATGGAAGCCCAGTTTCTATGATTTTAA